GAGCCTGCCGGGTGAATTTTCAATTCACACAGGGACTCACTGTTGTACGCTTCAGTGAGATGGCGACCCTGGGCTGCCGGTAGCCAATCGTCTGACACTCGTGCTAGCAACTCGTATGTCGGACGTTAAACCTCTTTGCTAATGAAAAGAAGAAAAACAAGTGCGCGAACGCACAGAATAGTGTATTTTTTGGCGGGTGGAATGTGAGGTCATGTGTTAAACAATCAAAAAAAGAACTTATTATTAAACAAATGAAGAAATATCGGATCCAAATAGCTGCTCTTAGTGAAACATGCATTTATGATTCAGGGGTTAAACTGATTAATGATTACAGTTTGATCTATTCTGGTTTACCATCAACAAATAAAACCAGAAATGCACACGGAGTAGCCTTGTTATTAGATGAAAGTGCTACAAAGGTGTGGAAAAATTCTGGAGCAGAATGGGAAGCAATCAGCGAAAGAATTATTAAAATTAGATTAGTATGTACTCCAATTAACATTACTATAATTTCTGTTTATTCACCAATTAATCCAGTTAATAAACAAATGACTGAAGCAAGTGAAAAGTTTTACAATGATTTACAAGATACGGTAAACAAAATCTCCACAGATGATATGATTATAATAATGGGAGATCTAAATGCAAGGGTAGAAGGTGGTCAAGGACTACCAACAATAAATAACTGTGTTGGACCTTTTACAGTTGATTCAGTAAATGAAAATGGAACAAAATTAACGGATTTCTGCATGATTAACAATATCATTATCGCAAATACATTCTTTGAACATAAACCAGTTCATCAGATGTCTTGGATGCACCCGAGCTCAAAGGTTTGGCACATGCTCGATTATACTTTGGTGAACAAAAAATATAGATCGAGTATCGAGGATGTTAGAATGTTTAGAAGAGCTGCCGGGGCAATAGGTACTGATCATCACCTAATGCGTATTAAAATTAAACTTCATCTTAAAACCAGAAGAAAATTACAAGTGAGAAGAACCAAATATGATTATACAAAATTTAAAAGTGAAAAGGCATTGGCAATGTTCCAAAAAGATATTAATGAAACATTGTCCGACGTAACTGGTAAGAATATTAATTTTAATGAAAAATATTCTTTATTTGTAGAAAGTGTGAAAGAAAATGCAGAGAAGCATTTCAAACTAGACAAAAATAATAGTAAACGAAAAGAATGGTTGACTGATGAGATATTGCGGATCGTAGAACAGAAGTCAACAGCCTTTATTAACTGGCAAAATCATCGTGGTGACAAATCAGAGGCAATATTCAGAAACAAATATAAACGTCTTCGAAAACTAGTTAAGACAAAAATTGATGCACGTCAGGTTGAATATTGGGATGAAATATGTGAAGAAATAGAGAAGAATATTAAAGTAAATAATCCATCAGCAGCCTTCTCAATAATTAGACGGTTACGTGGAGGAAGGAAAAGTGTGGAAAACATGCCAATTCGCGACAAAAATGGTATGCTACTAGTCACATCATCTGATCGATTAAGACGCTGGCGGGAATTCTTCAATGAATTACTCAATGTTCCTCAAACACTCAACAGCGATCTCATCAATGAAATTTCAACTTCGTCGTTATCCAAGGTGGAAGAGGAACGGCAAAATGCTGTACCATCTATTGAAGAAATTAGAAAAGCATTAGGTCAAATGAAATCGAAGAAAGCACCTGGTCACGATGAAATAACAGCTGATATCCTTAAAGCTGGTGGTGAACCTATATGTAGGTGGCTTTATGAAATCTTTGAAGAGGTATGGAGTAAAGAAGAAATGGTGGAAGATTGGAGTGTAGCCATCCTTATTCGGTTATTCAAAAAAGGTGACAAACAGCTATGTGATAATTACCGAGGAATTTCATTACTTAGTGTGATTAGCAAATTGTTTTCTCGCATAATTCTTAATCGTATTCAACAACTAATTGACAATCAACTATTAGAAGCTCAATCTGGTTTTCGTCCTAATAGATCAACAATTGATCATATTTTTATATTAAAAATGATAATGGAAAGACGAAAAGAATTTAACAAGCCCTTGTTTTTATGTTTTATTGATATTACCAAAGCTTACGACTCTGTGAATCGTAATTTATTATGGAAGGTGTGTAGAAAATATGGTATATCAGAAAAACTTGTAAATCTTCTCAAAATGTTATACAAGAACTCAAAAGCAAAGGTGAGAATTGAAGGTGAGGTATCGGACAGTTTCTTAATTGAAACTGGAGTTTTGCAAGGTGGTATACCATCTCCAATTTTATTCAACCTGCTGTTCGATTTTATCATTAGAAAGGTTATAGATCAAGCTGGTGCTTCTGGAGTTCAATTTGCATATGGAAGTAATGATTTTTATCATGGACCACGAGAAAATTATGACAAGTGTGATATTCTGAATCTATTATGCAGATGATTTAGTTGTTATGTGCGAAACAACAAATGATTTAGAAATATTCATTAACACATTTGAAATAATCACTCAAGAATATGGACTGGTTATGAGTGTAAAGAAGACATGTATCATGACATTGCAACAATATGAAGAAGATCAAATGCGTAAAGTATTGAAAAATTTAGAAGTGAATCATCCTATTATTGATCTAAATATTCGTAATCAAAAAATTGATAATGTTGATTCATTTACGTATTTAGGCTGCAATGTTACTAGAGACCAACGACCTGATAAAGAATTAGATATACGGCTAAGGAAAGCTGCTACAGCTTTTAACATGCTGAGACATGTGGTATGGTGTAGGAAGACGGTGTCCATTACATCAAGACTCAGAATATTCAGGGCGTGTGTCCTTCCTGTTCTTCTTTATGGTAGTGAAACATGGTCTATTACTGCAACATATGAACGTAGAATCAACACCTTTTATATGAAATGTATTCGGACTATGATCGGTGTCAATTTAGGTGACAGAATCTCCAATGAAAAACTGTTGGAAATTACCGGTCAACCGCCGATTGATAATATATTACGCAGGAATAGATTAAGGTGGTTTGGCCATGCCAACAGAATGCTAAACAACAATGGAGAACCTTCGATAGTCAAGAAGATCATGTTTTCGTACTTCCCAAATGAAAAACGACCTCGAAATATCGGCATTAGGAAAAGATGGGAGGATAAAGTTATAAATGATATTGAAATATGTCAAATTAAAAACTGGAGAAAAGAAACGATGAACAGAGATCTTTGGCGAAAAATTATCAATAGACATACCATAGTTACACCGGTAAATTCTAATATTAAAGAGATCATATTTAGGTATAAACAAGGTGCAGTTAAAAGAAGAAATGAACAGGTGGCGGCTAATCATGGAGTGATCAAGCAAAAGGTGTTAGAAGTGCTAATTAGGAGTACTAACAATAAATACAAGTGCCCTGGTTGCGGAAAAATGTACAAGCCTCAAGGAATAACAAACCATGTGAAAGCATGCACCAATGCTAAAAGTTGGTGTGTGTTGAATAATATTAAATAATGTTATTAAACAACTTAACACGTTTGGTTCACAACTGCTGAGGCTTGAATCTTGGTAATGAATGATGGGTGTTGTTTAAACTGGTTACCAGAGGGCGACACTCGGAGATAGATCGTGGTTCAAGTATCAGTGGTGATCAATCAGAACATCAGTCAAAATTACATGAACATTAACTACTGTTAACTTTTTCTGTTTATGTTGTGTGTATTGTATTTGTTCTCACCCGACACCGGAAACGGTAATGGGTCTAACTAACTAACTAAGAATGCTAATGATGGATGTTTACCATTGAATGTAAATATTTTCATTTAATATAGATAAAGATGTTTATATGATATTATAGGTCGATTATGGTATAGCTATTACTGGTATTGTGGATGAAGATTGCGTAACATTACCAGTTCACTTATCTGTTTCTGAATGGGATGAACCTAATCCAACATATCATGAAGATCCTAAAGAAATGCTTGGAATTGTTACAGTAAATAATTTAACAATTGGATGTTTCTATGCACTCTTGCGATATTCATCTTACAAATCTGTGCCGACTAGAGGAGATGCCAATGCTTTTCTACAATCTAATTTTGATGAAAGACATGAGTTTATGGCAGTCAACACGGACTATGTGTATGAAGATCCAATGGCAATATTATCAAGTGGATCTGTGTACTATCGTTGTGTTTTAATATCTGAGTAATTCTACGAGACATTCATCTTTAATATCATATTCTAGAATTCTAAATAATTATTTGTCAAAGAAATGTTATTAGTTACTATAATAAATAGATATAATTTTGTTTTTTAAAAGTCTTTGTATCATCAATGATAATATTATTTAAAGCTTCACAAGATATGAGATAGGGTACAATGTAGTGATACTTTTTGATTCTGTACAATTAAGGTATGTTGTGGATAGGTGAAGGTGAATTAAAAGTAAAATCAGACGAAGTTTGATAGTTGATAAATATTTCATCTATACACGAAACAACACATACTAATTCAAGAAATGTCAAAGATTTGTTAAGAAAAATTATGAAGTGAGAATAAGAAGCTTCCAACAATCGACTAATTAGTATAATTTAAAATAACTCTGTACTACTTGAGGGTGTGGATGCCTCCAAAGTATCACCCACACCCACATCTTCAAGAAACACAGAAAGAAGAATACAAGTTTTGATAGGTTCATAATAAGTTCTTCTGAATTCTTTGTCTAAATTAGTTCGTCTCTTTATTTTAACATATACTTATATTGTTATGTCTCACCATTGACATAAATACTCCAAATAATAACGAAACATATTTTAGATTTGTTCAAAATTCATTTGCATTGTCATCTCGTGTTCTCGTCAGAGGAATGAAATACAAATGAAAAGTTTCATTTGATTTTTTATTAAATTACATTGAGAGAATATATAATTATTTACATATTTTCAAGAAAAAATTCCATTACTGCATATTCGTAGTTAAGTGTCAGATGACGAAGGCGATTATGCTTACTTTGCATGTGGACTAAAGCTTGTTTAGCTATCGTTTGGCATGGCAATGGCAATCGCGTCTTTTTATATGGCAATCGCGGCAAAGGGATTCGGTAAGTCTTGAGTGAAATAAATTTCAGCGATGGAATTCCCATATACAGAGAACTGACGATATCTGATAAGTTGTCTACAGATGATAAGGTGTTTACAGATGACAACTCGTAATCGAAGAAAAGCGTTGATAAATGCGGAGCATGTTCTGGTAACCGATGAGATGATTTGAAATCATGTTGTCGAAAATCGAGCCGTTCAAGAGATGCTAATGAATACCACCCATTTCTCAAAGCATGTTCAGAAATAATCAGATATTGTAAGCGTGGCATTCGATCGAGTAGTTGAGAAAGTTGAGTAAAGCAGATACAAGGTTCAGGCCTGCACCTACACTCCGCTATGAAGCGAAAAAAGCGAACATAATTGAGAATGTCTTGATCAGAAATGAGTGGTGAAATTTTAATATCACGGCTATAATCGAATGAAAAATTACAATCAATGGAAATGAGATTTGGCATGCATCTTGCTATCGATTCAAATGAAATGGGACGAGCGAGATAATTTCTCGTCAAATAAAGATGACGAACACTTAAAAATGAAGATCGAGAACCTAGTTCCGAGCATGAAATAAATCCATGAAGTTTATCGAAAGCAAATGGTAATGAATAAATATGTACAAAACCAGCTCGTGAAAATTTTGGATCAACATCTTCAATATGATAGTCAAAATGATCATTATTTGACTGAATTGTTTCAATTATCGAGGCTATATCGTTTACTGTAAATGAAGCATAGAAATCGAAACGATCAAATGTGTTTTTATATCGTACGATTGTTGACCATAGATTTTCATTAAACATAATATAATCAAAGTTCAGAGTGACTTTTCTAAGAATACTTGTCTTTAGATAACATTGATCAATGAATAATTGAACTTGATCGAATGGAAAACGTTCGTTAGTTGGTCTATTGTTAATTTGTTTCGTACTAAGACAAAGATGGGTTAAATTGATTAATGGACGAAAGTTGGCTACTATCGTTTCGAAATAACTATACGTGTAATTTACTTTCTCATAACACTGGAGAAAACAATCAGCAAAAGTAACTGATAGACGTTGAAGATTAGGTGTCCGTTCGACAATTTCAAGCAAATGAGGCATTGAGCTAATACACACATCCAGATCAATCAAACCCAAATGAAATTTATTTGCCTCAATGGCAATATTTGTAGAGAATCGGGTCACTGTTTGAGGTATAAATCCTTTCTCGCGGTGATAACGATGATCATCATCAAACCAAAGACTAAGACTTTTCAAATTCATGTTAGATATCACTTTGGTCCACTCACATATGTTGACAAGATGAAGCGAATGGAGTTGAGAAAATTGATAATTAACATTAAGAATGGTGCGTTGTAAATAATATCGAGATGATCTTGTCATTTTTTGGGAGCAAGTGAAAATATTTTTAATAATAGTCCAAAATGAAGGTTTTTGATGGTATTGCGATAAATTGTTCTTAGGATCTAGAGCACGTAACCAGTGAATGTAGTATTGATTAATTTTGAGCGTTTGAATCGATCTACAGATCCATTTAAAGTCTTGTAGATTTCCATCCCAATCATCAGTAAGATCAATTCGTTTGATATGAAATCGAATAAGATCATCATATCGACAATTAAGTTGACCAAACGCTCGAAGAATATCAGAAGTTTTTAAGAAATGGAATATACTGTATATAACTTCATTTGGAAGTACCATAAATTGAGTTTGTTTTTGTGACATCTTGTGTTTGTCATGTGCTGAGCACTCAAAAAGAATCTAAATATATATAGAATGAATCTTTATATTTCATATTTTTTTTGTCGATTAGTAGATCCTCGGAAAAACTAACATTTTATAGATGACGTCATCAGAGAAGGAAAAACACAATTAGTAATAGAGGCTGTCAACATTTAACAGAATTGAACAAAAAGTCAACTAACCTTTTCTCACTGCTGAAGATGTCGCGCTTCTATTACTTATGTTTATACGAATGATTAGGGTACATGTTCATCTATTTTTTTAAGCAAAGACCATTGATTAATTTTATTTTGAAAAATTTTGATTACATTAAAAATATTTTTCTAAAAATTAATAGTTCTTTAACTAGAAGTTTTTAATATAAAAGTTAAAATAATGTGATATAAATATATTTCTTCTAATTAATTACTTTTTTCTACAGATCAAATTCTATTCAATTCATAAAATAATAACTAAAAATTTTTATCATAGATAATCTTTTGTGTTGCAAAAAAAATGACAATGCAAGTTGACACGAGGGTGTGGGTGTGGATGTGGGTGGGTGTAGGTGTGGGTGTGGGTGTGGGTGGGTGAGAAGAATTCACCAATACCCATACCCACACCCACACCCACACCCACACCCACACCCACACCCACACCCACACCAACACCCACAAATGTCAAAGATTTGTTAAGAAAAATTATAAAGTGAGAATAAGAACCTTTCAACAATCGATTAATTCGTATAATTCAAAATATCTTTGTATCACTTGATTTCATTTGATCGACGAGAGTAGGGTGTGGGTGTGAGTGTAAGATTATCTGAAATAGGACAAACTCACACCCTAATCAATGTAGCTAGTGAATAGCATTCGAAACATTGTTTACAATATCTTGAAGAAGAACTTTCAATAAAAGTATCTCATCCGATTATTTCATATTGTGAAACTGTTTCTCAACAATCGGACAGTATATGTTTAGTAAAATCTCCTAATAAACATATTTGAATATATATGGCAGCTCAACCAATACTAAATCTTGAGGGTGTGAGTGTATATCATGTCTTTCTCCTCATTCAAACCACCACACACGTGCGATATGCTGACAGATATGCATAAAGACTTCCTTTTAATGATATTGATCTATGAAGAACTGTATATAGTTTATTATCATAATTCTTATTCACTTTCTGCGTCATCTATAACAAAAGCGAATGATTGAGGTGTTGTATCTTTAGTTGGTTTCAGTTCAATGTTGCCGCTTGTTCCGAGGGTCATAAGTCGTAAATCTGAACCAGATAAAAATTCAAATAACGCCTTAATCTCATGTTTTTCGTAATCTGGATAATTGAATAACTCGTCGAATACTAAAACTGTGCCCGATACAAAGCGAGTTCCAAGTAGATACAAAATATCCCTTGCACTCTCATAAATATCGCCATCAATATGAACAAACGAAACTGGTGTCTTACATTGATATTGATAATCGACTAGACGAAGATGTGTAGGTAATGTGTCAATAAATAGTCCTTTCACTAATACAGCATTAGATGGAACTATAATTTGTGTTCCATTAGGCATTCGAAAGGCGCCTCGTTTAAATCCACGCCTCCAGTCGGCTGGTAATCCAGCAAATGAGTCGAATCCATAGACAAGTTGACTTGAGTTATCACAAAACGCCTGTTTCCATTCTGCAATCTGAGATAACGACGTGCCACGAAATACACCAAATTCCATCCATAAACCATCACAAGATGGTTTTATCATATCTCTGTATGGGGGATTGCGAAAGATTGTACGAATTGGATGAGCTCTTGGAATCAACTGACGTGCCATGAAAGCTATGCGTGTATTTTCAATGAACTCATTTAAAGTCGAGTAGTTTTTCGAGATATATGACAAATGTGTAGAAACATTTTCGTTCAAATATGCACTTTTATAATTCATTTTTTCCACGTGTAACTTTTTTAATTGATTATAAGGGAATGTACTTCCATCGGATCGATGACATAAGAGTTTAGACGATAGAAATACTCTTTTGGTAGGGTTTGTCATAGTTTTCGTTATACTGGTTTTTGGTATGAACATAATGTACAGTAATCCAAAGCATACAAAACTCGCTATGGATACGTATAACACTAATGTAATTTTATTTGGATTATTAATCATTGTAACTTCACTAATTTTAATTTTTGTAATATAAACTAGAACGTGTCTAGGTAAAGATGTGTGACATTGTGAGCAGGAATCGGTGTATGCGTGTGAGTGCGGTCTAGAATATACAAGTACACCCTCACACCAGTTTTACGCGTAAAACCTCGATTAATTTTGTGAAATAACACAAAAATGAGCGAAAGAATTTTTCTCGCTTTCTTATTTGCACAGCAACCAGCACTACTGCAATACAATCCATCAATACCTTATAGTATCGCTATTAAAAATCAATTCTTTCATGACGACTGAAAGCTCGTAACAAGGCAACATGATTCTCTACATTTAATTCATTTGAGTACCTGAGTGCGCGAGAGAAAAAGGGACACTTTTATTATTTCTTTTCATCGATAGTAAGAACGAGGAGAAAATTGCGCTGAACAAGGACACAATTACAGACAATTGGTGAAAGGGGGATGCGGATGCAAGGAGGATGTGGATGTGGATGTGGGCAGTGGCGGGCGGACACGAGGCAATTGGTGGCAATTGCACCACTCAAAAAATTTTAAATCCAACATTTACTCGTTTATTTATTGACTTCTGTGAGCGAATCATTAATATTCGTTTGAATAAAATTCAAAATAATAATTAATAACATCTCTCATTCGCAAAAATTCGAATAAACTACTTTTACTTTTGTATGCATATATGAGTACTCTATTTCTTGTTTTCCCCTGTTAAATAACTGGTCAGATCTATAATTTAAACAATTTAATTCTATTAATTATGATGATTTTTCAAGTATCAGATGAACGATAAGAGAATAAATTTGTCAACAATAACTAAACCCTTTTTTGGAAAATAATTTTCACATAGCATTAGCGTCCATGAATCAATTATTGAAAATTCTTTAGACTATACCGATTAATTCATATCAATGTGAATGTAGTTTTCATGTTTTGGGAGAAGAAACGTTATCAGGCATTGCTCTTTCAAATATTAAAAGAAACTTTGAAATTAATTAAGATCAAATAGTAACAGATTTTATTGTAAAAAAAGATATGATGAAAAATTTTTTTTAAAATAAAGTTCTTTCTTGGCTAATATACTTTTGTTGATTCATTTGACTTCAACGGAAAAATAAACTCAGAGATTACATTTAAAAGACTAGTTGTATTTGCAACTGTCATAGAGTATTTTCACAAAGCTGAAAATAGATGTTTTATTATGTTAAGAAATTATACTTTTTTGCCCCACTTATAATTTGGATGTTGGCCCGCTAGTGACATCACAATTGAATAAATGAGAAAATCATCTTGGGTGCGAGTGTTGTATTCTCCTCCAAATCCACCCACACCCTCATATTAACAAATATAACAGTCAAATTGAATATACTTCAGGGTGTAGATGTGGGTGTGAATAATGATATACCTTAGCATATCCTGAATCACATTCACCCATACCCCTCAAGTCAGTAGAAGAATGTAGTTGTGTTATATTTAATAGGCGTTCATCGATATACCTATTTGAATATAGCTCTGTCTATTAGCGAAAGAAAATAAAAAAAATTATTCTATTTAAAATGAACACGTACAATTGTGAAATATTTGTTATTACAGACATTAGATAATTAACTATTAACGGCAAAAATAACACGTTTATAAATATTTGTTATTTTATATTTTTCTTTTCCTTTGATTTTAATGCCAATTTTTTTCAACACACCTAAAAAGTTAAGTAATGGGTAACGGTAATATTAGCCAAGGTTTAATTCATCTTAATCAAACTAAAACATGTTATCTAACTGGTGATACCATATCTGGAACTGTTAATTTAAATCTTATACAAGCAAAACGACAAGTTGAGAAAATCTATATCGAACTTATAGGAGAAATTGGTTATACAGGAACAAAATATACATGGGAAAGAGCAGCATTACCTACAGCTACAACTGCGTATCATCATCCAAAATTTTACAAAGACACAATTATTTTAACAATACTCAATGTTGAACGAGAAATATCTTATTGGCCATTTCAGTTTCAATTACCTGATTATCTTCCACCAACACTAAATAAACTTCCAAATTATCCTCATGTGAAATATTATTTAAGAGTTCGTATCTATAGAAAAGGTTCGATAGTCATAAATAAAGTTATAAAATACGTAACAAAAATTTATCCACGTGTTAATTTATTAAAAAATCTTGAATGGTTAAAACCAATTCACAATACATATATTGATAACAATGTTATATTATATGTTACTTTAAACAAATCGGGATATGTTCCTGGTGAAGTAATTTACATGACATTACAAATTGAAAATCCACTTAAAGCTTTAATTCAACGTATTGATTTTTCAATAATAAAAAATCATGTAATTGGACGATATATATGTAAAGATACAATACTTCTGACTGATGGATGTAAATGTAAAGATACGATATTCAAAATAACATTACCCAAAATTTTAAATTTAAAGGACGAACAAATACAAGAAGTATTCGATGTAATAATTCCATCTTTATTATTACCTCCATCATATGTATCTCATGAAGAAATTCTAAAAAATGTTTACATTGATATTTCTTATAAACTTGAACTTGCAATTAAAATTCAAGGTATTTTTAATGATTTTTATGTTGATATTCCAATTACATTGGGAACAGAGTCAAATCCTAATTTTAATCAACAGCAAATATTTAATCCAATGGTGATTCCTGATTATTCAATGTTTAATGATGATGATCTGCCACCTGAGTATGATTCTACTGTACAAAATTTAGAAAGATTGAGCGTTCAAGATTAACAATTCGTAACAATCTATTATATATTTATTAATTTTGACTATAAATTTTATTTTCATATTATTATGATATAATCTAATGTGATTGAAATATTCATTTATTCGTATTCCAGGCCACTATTGTTGTTTTAATGGATAGAAGACTTTGAAAATTGTCTTTAAGTCATTAGAGTTTATGTATACTTATTTTAAGAAAATTAGTTGTCAAAAAGAAAAATTAAGAACTGTTTGTTTGGAAACTATCAATAAGATAAAACATAGATGTCATAATACCATTACCCCGGGTATCGACAGTCAGACGGCAGGATATCCTGATATTAGGTCGACGAAAGTAAATTAACATTCACTCCACATATTATACCAAGGAGTAATGATTTCATTACCCCACTAAAAAATACATTCATTATAGAAGTTGAGGAATATGAGTGGATTTGGGGTAACGAGCTGGTTACACCAAATCAACTCATATTCCTCAACTTTTTACATATCGTATATCTTTAAAGCTGAGGAATATGAGTTGATTTGGAGTAACCACCTCGTTACCCCAAGGATGTATATGTGAAAAGCTGAGGAATATGAGTTGATTTGGTGTAACCACCTCGTTACCCCAAGGATGTATATGTGAAAAAGTTGAGGAATATGAGTTGATTTGGTGTAACCACCTCGTTACCCCAAAAAGAAGTATATGTGAAAAGCTGAGGAATATGAGTTGATTTGGTGTAACCACCTCGTTACCCCAACCGCCCACAGCGACATCAGTAGCCACAGCAACAAGTGTGGGTGCTGGGAAAGCCAGGCCAGTGGGCAAAGCAACTAGTGTGGGTGCTCGGGAAGCCAGGCCAGTGGGCAAAGCAACAAGTGTGGGTGCTCGGGAAGCCAGGCCAGTGGGCAACGAAACAATTGAAGGTGTTCAAAAGCGGTGCATCCGCCGCAATATCTCGACAAAACGACTAACGAAAGGCAGATTTCAATCAATCTTATTTCATCTACAAAATCCAAATTAATTGAACTAAAGCGCCATATTCACTTTAGCTGCCGGAAAGATCAATAGCAACAATCCTTTTCACAATTCATCTCTAACATACCTGGTTATTCATGACAGTTTCGCGAAATAACCAAATCAATCTAAGAGACAATATCGTTATCCAAACGTTAATGCACCAAACCCACGTATATTCCTCAGCTTTTCACATATACATCCTTGGGGTAACGAGGTGGTTACACCAAATCAACTCATATTCCTCAGCTTTTTCACATATACTTCTTTTTGGGGTAACGAGCTGGTTACACCAAATCAACTCATATTCCTCAGCTTTTCACATATACATCCTTGGGGTAACGAGGTGGTTGCACGATATCCTAGCGGGGTAACTTTGTAAGCGACGTGTTTGTAGTAGAATACCCGGTGTAATGGGATTATGACATCACTCAGATAAAAGGATACCAAACGGTGTGCTAGATTCATAATATACCCGACATCGGGACAGACTCTCGTACGAAAGGGATCGTATCTCACAACATCATTCATACAATGTTGACATTCCGAAAACGAAGGAATTGTATTACTTGTAACAATATAATTACCATTAATATCTTGTTAGCATGAAAGACATTGTAATGATGAATCGAATATTGGTGATGTTGAAAGAAGTAAAAGTGAAACTATAGAATATAATATGCTTGTATAATTTTTGAAATAAAATACACGATGTCTTCTCCTTTTCAACACCATCACCCTCATTTACCAAATAAATATCTTCCAATCGATATGCATATGAGTCACTACCTTCTAAACGAAATAGAAGTTGATGGTGATGGTGATGACTACCAACATAAACCGTTGCATTTTTTCTTCTAGACTAAACTTTTGCGTTCTGTATTGAAGTAATACGTTGTAAAATGATAAAAAGCTTTTTATAACACGTGGTTAACAATCGCTCACACACATTTTCTAAACGCATACGTTGTAATAGAAGAAAATAAAGATCGATGTCTGACAAAGTAATATCTCCATTTTTGTCACTTCCTGTTGAACTTGTCTATCGAGTTCTTGACCATCTTAAACTAATAACAATTTTTGCATCATGCCGAAATGTCTGTACTCGACTGGATACTATCATTGATACTTATCAACGATATCAAGTAAATTTCATGTCACATTTATATCTTTAATATTTTTTTGATATTTTCGTTAAGACACTGACTAAACTAAATTTTTCTCGTCAAACTTTTAATGGTCAAAAAATGCAACGGTTATGTTATACATTACAAAATAATACTGTAAAATTGTTTTTCTAAACAATTCATTTTTATATTTTCCATATATATAGATAATAACAGAACTTGATCTATCCAGAAACATAATTGATTGTCACAGCGCACAATATTTAGCTGCTGTCCTACAAACAAATCATGTAAGACTAATTCTTAACCGAGCTAATCCAAACTTCATCAGACTTCTAATTATTTATTTGTCTTTTTTAATACAGACAGTCACCATTCTCAATCTTAGCCAAAACCACATCGAGTCTCGAGGAGCGCAGTATATCGCTAATATGCTTCGCATCAACCAAGTAAAATAGATTTTTTCTCATATTGATATCTCTCGTTTCAATATAGACACTCACAGAACTACAATTAAGTGAGAACAATATTAACTCTAACGGTATGCAATATCTCGCTGAAGCATTACAAGACAACAAGGTGAGACGAATGCTTTTATTATTCATTTCACATTTGTCATTATCATTTGACATAGTCACTTCTTCGACTGAGTCTATTATATACTCCGATTGGCGAGCGTGGTTTAGAATATCTCGCAAATGCATTAAAAATTAATAAAGTAAATAAAATGCTTTTAATTATATTTAGTTGTTTTTGTGTACTCAAAAAGTGAGTACACTACTAGAATCGGTCAGTGTGTCCGGCCGTCCGTCCGGCCGTCCGTCCGTCCGTTTACACGATAACGCACGAAAGGAGAGTCAGATTGAGCTGAAATTTTCAACATAATTCAGTCTCATCTAGATCTCGGTCGAGTTCGAAGATGAGCCTAATTGGCCGGGCCATTCCCGAGTTATTGAAAAAATACTGATATTTCCTGTTTTTGTTGTATTGGAATATTGACGTATTTCGACTTTGACAAAAAAAACTTTTTTTTATAAGCAAATAAATCTTCAGCTATTATATACCATTCGATAGAGAATTTCAAGGGCTACAAAATGGTATATAAATATTGAGAAAAAAGTGTAGCATTATATTCTAACGTCGAGAATACTTTATAGAATCTCAACAGACTGGCCAGTCAACGTGATTCATTTGACACAGTATTCACTTTTGTTTCTAGTTTTTTTGCTAATTTTGTGGCACGAAGGGTAATTTGGCATGGAGAATCCAAATCTGACGTCCGTTTTAATTAATTGATTAATTAATTATTAACTATGCTCTAATTAGTCGTTAATTAATGAAGAAATTTTTTAAGATTGAAAAAGGTGTATTCGAATGTGAAGAATCCGAATCTGGTAGCTGATTTAATTAATTAATTAATTAAGCTTAATTAACGTTTTTTCACAAAAACTAAAATAACTCAGATTAGAACGGATAACTTGGATCTGAGGTTAAATTTAATTAACCATTAGTTATTAATTATTAATTAGGTATGAATCTACTATTAATTCTTTGTTATTGTGTACTCAAAAAGTGAGTACACTTCTAGAATCGGTCTGTGTGTCCGTCCGTTTACACGATAACGCACGAAAGAATAGTCCGATTGAGCTGAAAGTTTGTACACAATTCAGTCTCATATAGATCTCGGTCGAGTTCGAAGATGAGCCTAATTGGCCTGATCATTCCCGAGTTATTGAAAAAAAACTTATATTTCCCTATGATTTTTCTATATTTTTTTGGAGGGAAAAATAATATAATGTCATTCTCGTAAGCAATTTTTCTACTAGAGTAAAATAAAAGTCCACTTGTTATATAGCATTCAGTAGAGAATTTCATAAGCTACAAGATGGTACTAAATTATAGGGGTAAACGGGTTGCACACAAGATTGTCCCTATATAACAGAGTGGGTAAAATATAAAAAAATCATATATGTTGATAATGTGTCAGTGCGATATCTGTTTGTTTTTCATATTACTAATAACACTTTTTCTAGAGTAGATAGAACTCATCAAGAGCTTGAAATGATGTAAAACAATAGGGGTAGATATGCTGCGTTCGATATGTCTTTAGTATCACACTTGTGAAAAACCATGAAAAAACCATATACCTTGATAGTGTGTCTGTGTGATACTCGTTTGTTCTCCATAAAGTGAACGTTATTTTTATGTACTCAAAAAGTAAAGTTCACGATAGATTGATTTTGATCAATCTGTCTAAAAAAATTCATCCTTGAGCGCACTAAGGAACAGCCCTTTAGTCCCTGTGGATGCCCTCGTTTTAGTGTATTCAAAAAGTGAGTACATTCCTAGAGTCGATCAGTATGTTCGGCCAGCCGTTTACACGATACCTTGCGAAAGGAGAGTTAGATATTAATGAAATTTCTACACAGTTTAGACTCATAAAGATTTCGGTCGAGTTCGAAGATGAGCCCAATTGACTGGGCTATTCTAGAGTTGTTACAAAAATACTGATATTTCCCTATGATTTCCATATACACTTTTTGCAGTACACATAACTCTCGGATACAATCCGAAGTTTCCACATTTATTTTTATATTCAATACAGACACTAAGAGAATTGGAACTATCTCACAATGGACTGGGCGGTGGTGGAGGACAACATATCGGGAATATATTACGATACAATAATGTAAGATGGAATAGAAATGTTTTGATTATATTCATCTTTTAATATTTATTCTAGACACTAACAGAATTAAGTTCTATGAATAATCCCATTCATCCCAATGGAGTCAAATATATAGCTGATGGATTAGCAGTGAATAATGTAAAAAAAATCTTTGCTATTTCTGAATTTTATTTGTTTGTTTGTATGAATTAATATAGACATTAGTAACACTTAATTTGGGATACAATGACATTGATTGTCAAGGTGTAATATGTTTAGTCAAAGCATTAGAGAAGAATCATGTAGATCTATTTCCCTACTTTTTTTTACCTAATATTTATTATCGTTGTATATGATAGTCTCTGACTAGTTTGAATCTTTTTTCAAGCCACATCCAAAATGAAGGAATGCAATATTTATCAGATACATTAAAACATAATCGAGTGAGAAAAATCTTATTCTCATTGCTTTGTGTCTTTAGTATTTGTATTTAATAATACAGACACTTACTACATTAATTATCCCGGGTACTGGAATTGATGCTGATGGCGCACAATATGTTGCTGATGCTTTACAAAATAATAATGTAAGAATTTCTACAATCGTTCTTTTATTTGATAATGATGTATATTTCATATAGACACTTACGATGCTGAATTTATCTAGTAATCCAATCAGAAATCAAGGAGTGCAGTATTTAGCTAAAGCACTAGAAAATAATACTGTACAATAAATTGTTTATTTTTTATTTGTCTTTTAACATTTCCTATAGACACTAACAACATTGTATATCATTGCAATATCGATGAGTGTTGAAGGAGTAAATGCACTTACGAGTGGTTTATGAAATAATCGAGTAAATCAAATGCTTTACTTTTCTATTGTTGTATTCACTTGTATCATTCGATATAGACATTGACTACGTTATCCGCTCACGATAATTATTTTACGTCGCAAGGAATACAATCTCTATCCAATATATTGATGACAAATGAAACAGTGACATACACGTTTCTTCCCATCTTTCTCATACTTGTCTACATTATTTAACATAGGGACTGAAGATACTCAATCTTGAAAAATCTGGTCTGGAAACCGATGGTGTACAATATCTATGCAATGCATTACAATATAATCATGTAAAACAAGTCTTTCTATGTGTCTATCTAATATTGATTTGACTCTATGATGTAGACACTTACCACTCTCAATATTGGTGTTAATAGATTTGGTCCTGATCCAATGCAAAATTTAGCTAATGCATTAATATATAATACAGTAGCACTAATTCTATAAATATTTCTGCCACACTTTTTTTTATTTTTCAACTTAGACACTCACCACCATTTCTCTTGTTCTCAATTGGATTGGTCCCACGGGAGCACAATATTTAGCTAAAGCCATAGAAACTAATAGTGTTAGATATATTGTTTATTGTTTTATCTCATATTAATCGTTATCTTTTAATATAGACATTAACGACACTAATACTTACTCTGAACGGAATCGGTGTTGAAGGAGCTAAGCATATAGCTAATACATTAGTGCATAATAAGGTGAGACAGATTTTGTAAGCATCTGTCGACTATTTCTCTACATTATTTAATACAGAGTTTAACAACGTTAGATATTGCATCGAACAAGATCGAAACAGAAGGAACTCGATATATAGCTAATGCATTATTGAATAACAAGGTAGAAGAAATTCTATACTTCTCTTTACTATGTATTTATTCATATTTTTACTTTAGACACTGAAGACATTATCATTTGGAAACAACGATATTGGTTTAGAAGGAGCTAAATGTTTAGTGAATGCATTACTTAGCAATGAAGTAAGACAAATTTCTTGTTCGTTTTCTTTCTAATTCTTTCTATTATCTAATTCAGACACTTGCAATGTTGAAATTTTCAGAAAAAGATACTTCTGCAGAGGGTTCCCAATATTTAGAGGACATGTCGCTCTATTTAACCGCAAATGTGACATGGAGCAAATAATTATTCACTAGTTTGTTTTACAAATTTCAAATAAAATTAAAATTATTTCTTGATGCATATCTTTGAAGGTGTACGGATGGGGTGTGGGTGTGGGTGTAAGTAGTAGATGAAATAAATATTAAAACTCACACCCACACCCACACCCACATCCTCAAATGAATATAGAATTAGTGATGTACTCAATGAGTACTTTCATTTTATACTGTTTTCAGTGTGAGTAAAAATTGATGATTTTTCGATCGTGTCCTTTTTATTTATGATCCAAAACGTAGACAGTATGTTCCATCTAATATTAGTGTACAAAACTTGATTGATAAATTCAATAAAGGCACTGGAAATGGTCATTTCGAATATATTGAATATAAGGCAGATATAAATAAATTGCGTTTATGTGTTCATCATTTTGAGGGTGAGCTTATTATCTTCAAACACATTCACTCTTTTGTACAGAATAATTATCTTTTTTAATGCTTATATGTTAAAATAAAACAAAGGTAAACCTTAATAACGGCATAAGCAAAACAAAACACTCTTCTAACATCCACATTTAAAGGGCGCAAGAAAATGAACTATAACGGGCTATAGATCATATAAATGTCTAAACAAAAGATAAATTAAATGGTAAAACAAAAAGTGACTGCATTCATTCCTTCGCTTTTTCCACCTCAAATATACATACATTTTTTCGCAGCATTATCGATATTACTCAATAAATGTATATTATGATCATGACGTAAACTGAGTTGCATTTCAGTATGTAAATCCTAATAGATACAGTAGCAACATCAGGCTACCAGTTACATTCATTTTTGAAAAGAAGGTTGCAATTGTTCGTAATGGGTATATTCTATACTTCATATCTTTGTAGATGTTTACTTTATGTAAATTGTTACTTGTCGTCATTTTTACAACTGTATTCAGTTGTCTTTCTGGTACTTATCCACCGTCTTACTGTATTCGTCTTGATACGGATGTTAAGAATGCTAGTGGTTCGTCAATAATCATAAATATTACTCAAAACTGGGCGCCAATTGGAGCAAACCATTTATTTGATATAATTAACTCTCAGTTCTATGCTGTTCCTTCAGCTTTTTTTCGTGTTGTTCCTAAATTTGTCGTGCAATTTGGAATCAGTGGGGACCCAATACAAAATACCATTTGGAATAAAACTATTCTTGATGGTAACTATTATATTAGACTTTTTTTGTTCTAATATTTATTTTTTAGATCCTGTACTTATGTCTAATATTGTTGGTACTGTATCGTATGCTACTAATGGACCTAATACGCGTACAACACAATTATTTATTAATTATCGCAATAATAGCCGTCTAGATCTACACGGTTTTTCACCTATAGGTAAATTCATAATGCAAATGAATAATCAAATTATTCAGTGCATTAGATTTTGTAGACTATTATACTTTCGAGTAGATTTTAATAATCATTCGTAGCATTAAGTGTCAGTCTGATGTGTAGGATATTCTTTTGTTTCGAATGTTAACTTTATGAATAACAATGCTATTGTTTATCTTTGTAGGAGTTGTTACCACTGGTTTAGATGTCGCAAATACTATTTTTAACCCAACTCCAGGTAAAAAGTTTAGTTTTTAAACTTTTTTCGGATCCATGAATGTTCAAATATCTAATTATTTTTACTTCTTCATTACACATGTTATTTCATATAATGTAATCAACTGAGCATAAATGACTAACCGTAAGAGCACATACGAAGAAAAACTGTAGTATTTGTTTTTCTAAGTAAAAATAAAGATAAATGAAATAATTTTGATAGAATAATCAATTGTATCATATATTGTTTATATTTTTTGAATCAATAGGTAACAGTACTGGTGTTGACCAAGATGCTTATTCGACTGAAGGGAATGCTTGGATACTTGTCAATTATTCACAAATAAATTTTATTAAAAAAGTTTCCATCACTTATGATTGTTCCCGTTCGTATCAATCTAAAATACAAGTTACTTCGTCATTTGTTTTATTTTTTAAATTTATTTTTCTTTTTTTAAATCAATATGATTAAATATTCTTTTTCAAATTACGTTTGAATTATAAAGAATAAATAATATATATTACATGCTATCTTAAAAATATGAAAATTATGAGATGATTCATGAGATCATCAAGAATGGTGCAGATGAAGGTAGGATTCTTAGTGGAAGAAGAACATCTAACCGACACTACACTCTCACCCTCAAGATGGTTTTCTATCACCTACTAATACTCACACTCCTATCTCTAATAGTTTAAGCTTCTATTGATAATGTTTTCTTGTATCATTTATTCATTATTATGAAAACAAAACTTGTGTTTTACAATACACTTTTAACGCTAGTTCTGAATTTGTTATTAGTTTTTAACCTAACATCTATATTCTAATTAAATCTAGTGATATAATTAATGCTATGAATCAACTATTCTTACAATATCTCAATCATTAGTAAATGTAATGCGTCATATATTTGTGCGTATCGTGTCCATGGCAATGCCTGTTTCGCTCTTTGTTTTTTTTTTCGAAGGAAAACGATGAAAGTAAGCGTAGAAATGTTTTGAATTGCTTTCTTCCATCAGCCATCTTGAGGGTGTGGGTGTGAATGTGTGTGTGTGTGTGAGATGTGGGTGTAGAATGATAGAATAAGGAGGAAATACCCACACCCACACCCTCCAATTCCGTGGAACTATAAATTTTCGTCATGACCGCTGCAGGAGATGATTACGTATTTTATTTTCGCGACGACAGATAAAATGTAAGTACACCATAGAAACCGTAGCATGTGAGAGAAAGAAAAAAACAGTGTTTTTGTCTGGCTTGATCAAAAAGTAATGACGTTTATATTTTTCTCTCCCTGTGTTTTCTCCCACAACACACACTATACTGCTGCTTTTTATTATTTTTTACGCGTCAATCGCAATAGTAAGTGACATATGAATGCAACAATTTTAATCATACGCTTCGGAGACTGAGGTGAGCGCAGCGACCGCTTGGGAGTACTTGTGGATCAGAGATAGATGCGAAGCTACATGACAAGACACGGACAAGATGAGAAACAAAGCGGGTGTGGGTGTGTACGAGGATGAGGATAAAGGAAGGTATCCTCACCCACACCCACACCCCTTTTTTAAATCTGTTGCACACCATCACTAAATTTTCTCTCGATTTTATATTTGCACAAGGCAAATACTTGAGTGTTGAATTTTGTTTGCGCAGAAAGAGTTGTTTTTATGTAAATCGACGCATGGCGCAGTTTATTGAGTGGCGATAGTTGGTCTTTTCCAACTTTCAAAGAACAGTACTTAGTCTTGTGAGTGCGCGGGGAAAGGTGAGGGTGGACTAGACTATTCCAGATACCATGAGATATTATTTGTTGACAAATAACTAGTATTTATATACTCAAACTGTCACATTTTTGGATATCTTTAAGTTAAGGATAATCTATTTCCTTCCGTAGAGTAATAAGAACTGATCTGACGCTTTAAGTACTACTACAGAAGACAATTCTTAAATGTTTGAAAGAGATACAAAAGTTCGTTTTAGAAGCGTACGTCACCATTTTGTTTTATTTACAGACGAGTGTGAGTGGTGACGGTGAATGAGGATAAAGAAAGATATTCTCACCCACACCCAATCCTGGAAAGTAACACTTTCTTGTCGGGTCGATTTTAGATTCTCTGTTAATGGCGACTGGGACATCCACAAAGAATAGCAGTCAATCTTCCTTCTACACCATTCCGAGTGATTGGACTGTACACTGGATCGGCCTAAATTTGACTCGTAGACAAATGGACCAAGTTCAACGAATGATCGACGACACTCAGTTAATGGCAATGGATACCGAAACAATGCCTATTTTTCACCATCCAGATTTTCTGCAATGGCAAAGGCACATGTTAACATGCAACGAACCCAGCTCAAAGGTGTGTCCCGTGATGTACGTTGGCAAACCAGCACTTCTGCAGGTAGCAATTCGTGGTGCTCATGTTGGTGCAAAGCATGTACTGTTGTTTGATTTACAAGGGCTGTTCGATCGTTCGCGCAGCGAATTTCGATTGTGTGATGCAGGCGCCATGGCTCACCATCTCTTACAAGCGATTTTTAATAATCGAAAAGCATACAAATTGTCACAGGATCTACAAAATGACTTTATACAGTTGAAATGTTCATATGATGACGAATGCTTTCAAACATCGAAAATCGATCGACTCATCGAATTGTCTTCTGTGTATCGGCATGCCTTTCCAGGCGAAAAATTCCAGAAAATCTATAGCCTGAAACAAATGACAGTGATGACTCTCAATCGCCAACTGAACAAATCGAAGCAATGCTCCGACTGGTCTCGGCGACCATTACCACAAGCACTTATAAATTATGCCGCTATTGATGTTATTGTCATGATCGATATTTATGACAGTCTGATACAACGAATTCAAGGTGCCTATCCGATACACACTGAGTTCAACAACGTGTCTTTACAGGAACATGAACCATCGAACAATGATTCTACTGCTACGAACTCTGTCAATTATCCAGGACAGTCAATAAGCGCGGGGGATCAGGCCTGGATGATACTGCAACAATCGTTGGAGATATCATTTGACATTACACAATTTGTCACTTACGATTGTGTCTGCGGTGCTCGGTGGCCAAGCAAGAAGATGTATAACAAACACGCTCGACAATGTTCGCCATCGATTGAAATACAAGCTCAAAGAACGACATCGAACAGTAGAACAGGATAACTATGAACGAGAACTGTAGAACGACGAGTTTTCGAGTAAATCGGATATTTCGACCTGTGTGTGGGTGTGGGTGTGGGTGTGTGATATGAGCTAAGAAAAGATAAACATCCACAACCACACCGACACCCTTTTAATATCTTTTATACTGTATCAGAAAGCTTTCGTCGTGAGTTCAGAGATACTTTTTATAAATGCAAACATCAAACAACCGAACAATTACAAATTACTGCAGTCGGAAGAATAGTAGCGAGATCATGAAAAAGAAGAAAACTAATGATCTCTGAATTTTGACATAAAACTTTATGTTATGAGATGTCTCAATAAGGGAAATTAATTAAAAAATTTCAAATGTATTGATTACTTCGAAAATAAATCATGAAATAAAGGGAAGAGAATTGTAAAACATTGGGTGTGGGTGTGGGCGTAGATTTCAAGAATAAATATCCACGTCCACACTCATACCCATTACTTAAAGGGTGCGGGTGTGGATAATATCTTTATCTAATATCCAAACTCACACCCACACTCAAATTCTACTTATACATAAATAAGTTTTTTTTGAGATGAAATAGATTTAAATGTTCTCATAGAGCTCAGATAAATTATGTTAGTGAGCATGTTTAGATAGGAATTTCTATAAGCATTGCTAGATTATACACAGTTATTGAAAAAACATACAATAGAGAGAAATGTGCTGGATTAAAATAAAAGAGAATTGTTTAAAGACCAATGGTATGCATTGCATTCGTAATTTTATCAACAATGTACTAAACAAAAACAAAAATAAATTATAAAATTTTCAATGAAACAACTTTATTTTACTCGAGCTTCAGATATATTTCGATATGTTACCATTTTACCAACTGAACGAGTTGATCTTAATGTTCCAGTTTTCTTTGGTTCCTAAAATAATAAATAAATAAAATATTTTATCTTTTAATTTTTTTGATTAATTACTTTTGTAAGAATTTCTATTTGATTTAAATTAGGTTTCACAGCTGGTTCTTCTTTTAAATCTTCATATTCAATTCGCCAATCAATTGCATAAAAACCAAGAAATGATATTTCAGTTATAAATAACAAACGTCTAAAATTTATCGAAATTTATTTGAATAAAATAATGAATCAAAACGTTTTTACTTTGACGTAGCTAATAACCAAGATGGTGGACTGTCTACACAAGTTATATGTGCAACATACGTATCTGTTTTAGCATATTTCCCATTTTCTAATTTCTAAAAATATAAATCAAAAAGATATTTTATTAGAATAAGATTTAAATTAAAATAATTACATTTAAAATAAAAAATCCCATTGCTTCATGAGAAATATATGGTCGAACAAGACCATCACGGCCAACATGACGTGGATAACGAACACGACGTACAACTTCTTCTTGTTGAGTAGTTCTAAATAATTTCAATATAATAGAAATAAATACAATTAATTAATTTATTCTTTACCGTTTTATTACATCTAATGAAGTGCTTGCAAAATCAACAACTCCACCTGTTGGTCTTGTAGCAAGACCAATAAAACCTTTTCCTAGACCTTTAACAAAACCTAATGCACCATTTTTTTTGGCACCTGAAACTGGTTTTGTAACAACACCTGTTACACCATCAACAAAACCCTTTACACAAAAAAATCAAAAAATCTAATCAAAAAAATATTTTCTCATCATACCATAACAACATTTTTTCCTCCAATAGCAATATCAGTAGTTGCATGATTTGTTGGTTCTTTTCGTCTTATACGTGAAATTTGATAATCATCATCAAATGTTAATGCAGCTAAACTATTTCCAAGTACACCATTTATTTTTGAAAATGCACCAGCAGTACCACCAACAGCTGAACCAACTAATGTTCGAACACCTGTTGCTACACCTTCAGCAAATTCCGTTGGACCTTCAATTGCACCCTAAAAGATAAAAATCCATATTTATTTACATATATATCATTTAATTTCTTACTTTATATGGTTCATAAAAAAATGATTCAACACCTTCAGCAAGACCACAAATAACACCAAATGGATTTCCAAGTACATCAAGCCCAAGAACAAGTGCATGAAGTTGTTTCATGAATTGATTTTGATAATGAGATGAAACTTCATTCGATAATTTCGTTATTGTATATCGATCATGTGTTCGTTCATAAAAACCCAAACTATACAAATGAACTTATTATTTTTCATTTCATAGATAAATCTTACCGTAAAATAACATCTTGTACTTCTGCAACATTTAATGCTTGTAATAAAAATGCAACTAATGGATATTCAGCTAATAATTCTTGACTTGCTTTTGATCCATGCATTGATAAACTAACATGAATCTAAATCAGAGGGATTGATTTTTTTAATTTAATAATAAATGATTTAAATATACTTTGAGTGGTGACAAATGTATTTTATCAAAATACATTTCTGTTTCGCCTGTTGGACTATCAGTTAATGCTCTAATAATAGCATCAAGTGGTTTTTGTATTTGTTCTAAATCCGTATCCATATTTATTGTTGGTGCTACTGCACTCTGTTTGAAACGAATAAAAACATTTTTTCTATTATAAATAAAAAAGGAAAATTAAAGTAACAAACTTTTTCTTCACGTAAAAATGCTAAGATAGCAGCAATTAAACCTTGATCAATTTTAACAGCAAATTCTTGAATAAGTAATTGAAAATATTTAAACTGCATAACATTTGATCGACTTGTTTTCGATTCATAGACACTTAATTCAATGAATGCTTTTTCCGTAGGATCAGTTCCTGTTGCTTTTGATATTATTGGATGAAGAACAACAGGAAACATTGTATAATCAAGTTGATTATCAATTTGTACATGATTTATTCGTATATGTAATGCAGTATTTGTAACTGACCGTGCATATTCAATCCAAAGACCATCTAATGCTTGTCTTTTAGCTAGTTTTCTTTGACCTTTAGAATTAATTAATTCTGCTGTACCATCATGAAACGATATTTCTCGAAAATGTTCCATATAATATTTTTTTCCCAAAAGTTCTTTATCATCTGGATTAGCTTTAAGTTGTTCATGATGAATTCTATAAAGTTCCTCTAAATGTATATTTATATCATGTGACAATGGTCGAACACGTGATTTTCTTATCTCTGTCCAAACAACTTTAGATTTATTTAAACTTATATAAAGCATTTCTTCTCGAGTTACATCATTTACAATTGATAAACCAATATCATGAATACCAATTTGAATACGTTGACCCATTGATTCTGCTAATGATGGCATCTAAATTATAATTGATCAAAAATAAAATAGATTAATTTATATTAAAAATAAAATATTTACGCCAGAAGCAGCTTCAATAACTTTTGTATCATCCGAAAAAAGTAATACAGTTTGAACACCATCAACGAATATTGTATAGCTAACATTATGATCACCAACTTGTCCAAGAAAACCATATTGAGGCTAAAAGATTATTTTTATGTTAATTAAACAATCATTACTACAGGAAAAAGTATTTTTTGTTTTTGTACAAAACGAATAGAAAATATCAATAATACATTGTTCGAATTAACAATTCGATTGTATCTAGATTCGAACACAGTGCTTAACAAACATGTTAACCATTAGACTAGAGCGATTGTATTAAACTCATGAATAAAATAGTTATTAATAAAATCACATGATTCATGAAAATTAATCTACATTTGTTTTATTCAATGTTTGATTGAATAAATACGACCCAAGGGGGGAAAAGCGAGACTTCATCTGCTTCAAAACTTTTTTGAAGTACGATGGGAGTACAGAGAAGTACAATGGGAGTACAGAGGAGTATGATGGGAGTAGATGGAAGTACGATGGGAGTACAATGGGAGTACAAAGGGAGTATAATGGAAGTACAGGGGAGTACGATGGGAGTACAGATGAAGTACAATGAGCCATTGTAATTCCATTATACTCCCTTTGTACTTCCATCGTACTCCCATTGTACTCCCATCGTACTCCCTTCATACTCCCTTGTACTTCCATTGTACTCCCATCGTACTTCATCATACTCCCAACGTACTTCATTATACTCCCATTGTACTTCCATCGTATCCTTTTAACAATGGAAGTACAAGGGAGTACAATGGGAGTACAATGGAAGTACAATAGGAGTACGGAAGTACGGAAGTGTCGCTTTTCCCCCTTGATACGACCTCATCTCATTCATGTATATTATTCTGATTAACTAACAAAGATTATCGAATCGATTTTTTAAAATATTTATTAGAAGAATTTTTCTTACAGTTAGTTCCAAAATTTTTTTCTTTGAACCACATAAGATAATTAAATCTCTTGGTTTTAATGGATCTGACCATGTGTAATAAACATAATTCAGTGGTGGTAAAACTTGTACACGTCTAATATATTCAAAAAAACATGAAATATCATTTAAATAAAAAAAGATTTTAATAACTTACACATCATCAACTTGACAAAATGATATTGGATCTTTTTTCAAACAATTGACAAGAAGAAGTGGTGCATCACCAATTTTATAATCACCAAAAATAACTCGAACACCATCGAAATCAGTTGCTGTGACTTCAACATATATTGCTGGACGTTCTTCATCATCCATACGTAAAAGTGTTCGATGTTTTTGATTCATCATAAATGGACTTGATGAAACACGATTATGTGTATAACGAACACGCATTACACCTTCTTTGATATCATGTGGCCAAAATGGAATTATCTTAATTATTTTCATACAAAATAGAAAATTTATCAACAACAAAAATTAACGATTTACTTGTTCAGGATTAAGCGGTCCCCATTTATCTTGTTCTTTGTCTGATACTGTTTCAACTACTTCAATTTCCATCTAAACAAATTATTTCTGTTTTCGTAATGAACAAAAAAAATGATTTTTCAAACATACAGTAGATTTATTGATAATAACGACTGATGGTGATAATGTAACAATTTTTGTTAAACCAAATGAACATGTTACAATATCCACACAAACCTAGAAAAATAAAATTTAAATAAAAGCTGTTTTTTGTTTATATTTCTATTTACCATATAAGTTCGATCATTTGGAACTTTACATGATGCCATACCAGTACTTTTAATAACATCAAGCGAAAATTTTTCAGACCAATTTGTTGCATTATCTCCTTGTTCGGTACTATAAAGACGAAGTTGTCCCTATTTAAAATAGTTAAATTTTTTTTCTGATTTTCTTTGATAAATGATAATTACTTTTTTGTTTGCATCACTTCCAAATTTATCTGGACAAACTAAAAATGGTGTTTGAGCAACTTCAATAAATGCACGATTATTTTCAATCTAGAAAAAAACAATAAAAATAAAAGTTTTATATGAAATGTAAAGTATCTTACTTGAAATTCAAGTTGTAATTCAGTACGATTAAGAATCCAAAATGGTGAATAGAATAGTAAACGATATGATTCACGGAATGTATTAACACGTAATACCATTTTCTACATAGTTAAGTTTTTATTCAATAGAATATTTACATTTATTTTCTTACTAATATTTGTTGAGAATTATTAGAATTATGAAGTATGACAAGATGTTCATTATGATCACCTTTTCCTTCAACATTTAAATCAACTAGATCAGATGTCCATTTTATATTATTATATGATGGAATCTAAATAATCGAGATTAATTTGCAGAAAAAGAAGAAGAAAATCATATACAATAAATCTTAATATAGATTGTTTATTGCCAGACGTGATGAGAGTTAATTCACTTGGTTTTAAATCAATTTGTTCGGCATTCTGAAATACAAGAATAGATATATATTATTTTTGATAGAAATCTAACAATGATTATAAACTCGTATTATATCTTTAGGAGAATTAGGATGAAAACTAAATTCGATACACATCGTGAATATACATCCGAAATCTAACAAACAGTAGTCGGGCCAAATGTTTATAAGTTTTTAGCTAAGATAGCTCTAGAGAAGGTACTGGTAACATTCCCTAATCTCTTCGTCTGTCATTTGATTTTATAAGCTTCGAAAATGATAAACTGGTGATATTACTACTGTATAAATCTGTTGCTGAAGAAATTATAGAATGCAAATACTGATACTTTTGCGAACTTATTTAACTGATAAATCTTTATCGTTTAATATTTCTATAATCCTATTTAAATAAATAAAATCTTTAATTTACATCAATTGAACACTGAATATCGACTGGTAAAAGATTAGTTAAATGAAGAGCTGGATGAATATAAAGACTAAAGCTTGCATGATCAAGTTGATCGGTATTTTCTGAATAAGCATTTGTTACTTCTTTAAAAACCTATAGATTACAAATAGAAATACATATATATATTTTTAAAAATTAAAAATCCATACAATAAAATTTGCTTCTTTTCCAGTTTTTAATTTTAATTTTCTTTCCGATAAAAATTCTTTTTCCCAATCAAATGAAAAAAAATCATAAATTTCACCGTTATGTTCATTTCTATAATTAAATAAAATTAATATGAATTTATTTCGTTTTCCTCTCTTCAATTCATCTTACTCATCAGTAGAAATAAATATTGGTGAACTTGAATGTGTATAAAGTAATTCAATTGGTACATAATATTCATCATTAATATCAATTTTTGCCATTCGATGATATTTTTTTGGATCAACTGAATCAATATTCAAAATAATTAATGGCATTGTTGTATTATTATAAACTTTAACAATTGAACTAAGAATAACACACCGGCGATCATTTCGTACTTGTGTATCACAAAGCATTTGAACTGGCCAATTTGGATTTGGTGATGGATCTAATTCATAAACACGTTTCCATGTTCGATTGATAGTTACAGTTTTAACAACATCTCCAATCTAAGAAAATTAAATATATATAAGATTTCAACATTCAAGATACTGGAAAATAGTCTTATTTCAACTGCAAAGAATAATAGAATAGACGATTCTTCATAGAATTAGACAGTTTGAAGCGTTATCATATATAGAGAAAGAATATTAAATCTATACTTTTAATTATTTAAAAATTTAATTTCCAAGTATCTACTATTAATTTTCATCAAGCTATCTGACGTCGAGATATGTGTAGATTTTTTGAAAATTTTATTTACTTTAACGCCAAATTCTTGTCGTCGTTTAAAATCTTGTTCTTCAATAACAGAAAGTCTTGCTGCTGATTGACGATCATTTGCTACAACCAATGGAACGAAACCATTTGGTTTTAAAGCTTTTGATGTGAGTGTCATATTTTCAGCAAACTTTAAAAAAAAATCAATAAAAAGAATGTTTTATTTTGTTTTCTTCATTTTTAAAAAACTTACTTCAATACCATCTAAATTATCAATGAATATTTCTTTTCCAGTTCCATTAAATAATGATAACATTGGTTGATCATTATCTTCAGTAAATGGTAATCGTTCATTATAAACATCATTGAATAAAGCTGATAAACGTTGAATTAAATCAAGACCTGTTTTTGTTATTGTTATATTAAGTAATTGATCGGCACGTATGAATACAATTTGTTCAGAAGTTGATGATAGTACACCTTTTTTTCGTGCTTGTTCATTTGATACTGCCGATCCACTTTTTTCAGTTAATGGTAATACCTTAAATATATAACAAGTTTATTTTTATTCAACGATTAGTTGATTGAATAAATATTAGTTAGTGTTAGTTTGGTATCTAGCACGCTGACAGATGAATCTATCACCAAATACAACGATAACATACATTATAGAGACTTTTTACCTGCTTTGTTTCTTCATCAATTATCTGTAAATTATGAAATCAATGAAAATATTTTCGTATATATTATTTTCAAATTAAAATTTATCTAAAGATTTTATAATTGCAAAACTTCATTTTTGTAATTCATCCTTTTGCTTACAAATTAAAACGAATCTCCATAATCAAAATTTGAATCTATTAGTTAGGTCAAGTTCTTTGTGTGAAGTAAACTTATATTAAAATATCACTTTGTTCTATTTATGAATATATCAATCTAATTATACATAAAATATAATTACCTATAAGTGTGAAATCAATAAAACACTCATATTTTCAAGATTTGTAAATGCTTATTTTTAGGTTATCGACTATGGTGATTCCAAATATGGGTATGATAAGTATCCTTAGATTTTTATAGAAAAACTGATTTTCTTGTAACCATATTTTGAATGATCATCATCGATAGCCTAAAGCCCAGTAGGTTTCATCCAAAAAAAGCGATCTGATAGTTGTAGAGCTCTCTCGTGAGACAAGATTGTTTCTTTAATGATATATTTCCATCTAGATTTCTTCAATGACATTTATGTATATACAATATCGTTTTCATACTAATCATAGAAAATAATTCATTCGAAATACTCACAGTTACAATTGAACATGTGATACACCAAGGTGAAAGAGCAGATCCACTTGCATCAATTGTTGGTTCAATAAGTGGTTCCCAAGCAAGCATACGTTCATTAAATAATGCAGCTTCAATATTAACAGTTGATGAAAGACTTAACTAAAATTTCAACAAAAGAAAAGGAACTAGAAAAGAAAATTCTAATAATCACATACATCTGTTGTCCAATTTTTAACATCAGTTGTTAAATTTGATAAACATATTGCAACAACAGATTTTGTTACTGAACCTAAATTAACTTCCAATTTAATTTCCACTGTCTCTAATGTTAAAATTAACTAAAGACAAATGAAAAAAATAAATTTTCTTTTATATTAAAAAATTTTCCTACCTGTTGTATTAAAAGAGTTTGTGCTTCAATTTTTTCTTCTTTTTCTATCATTTTATCTTCTTCTTCTTTAACAGTTTCTAATATATCAGTTGATTCAAGTTTAGCTTGTTTTTCTTCATATTCTATTATTAAAATAAATTTTAATTAACCAATTCATATACAAAATGATTTAATAAAAACCTTTTATATACCAAAGACCAGAATCTTTAAATGTTTTTGGAGTAAATAATGATTTTGAATTAACTTTTTCTTTTTCTTCTTCAACATCTGTCTAATAAAAATAAAATATAAATATAAATAATATTCTTTTGATTTATTTACTTTAAGTGTTCCTAATGAACTTGTAACACCAATTAATGTTTTCACTACTGCTGGTGCAATACTAACAATAATATCGGATAATCGTACATCAATTTTTTGTTGTTGCTTATCCATAATTACAATAGCATCAGCTTTAGCTGGTTGTAAAATCTTATTAAATAAGAAAACGATAAGATTAAATAAAATATTTTCTTATTTTATTTACGCGATATTTTATTTTTGAACCAGCATTTTTTAAATCTCGTAATTCTGCAAAATTTGAACTATAAACTGTTAGATCTTTTAACCATATATATAATTTTGAATCTTCACCAACACTAATCATACGCATTTGTAAAGCTAACTACAAAAAAAATAGAATATAATTTTTTCTTTTTTGTTTTTATTCAATTTATAATTATACGTCCACTACGAGACAATTCGAATTTGAATTATGTTGATCTTCAAGTAAAATAATTTCCGGATTTTTTACAATCACATCAATTCGTGTTTCTATCTCTGGATCAGCATTGGATGGAGTTGGTGGTTGAGGTGTAGAAGCTACAAAGAAAAAATTTTAATTTATATGAAAAATAAAAGAAGAAAAAATACGTTTTGATGATGGTGTTGGAAGTTTTTGTGCTGTAATTGAAGGTCGACTTGGTCTTGGATCTACTTTCAATCGATTATTATCATTATCAGTTTTAGTTGAAATTTCTTTTTTAGATGTCATTGCGGATGTACTAGATCTTATTTTAGTACTACCAGTTGGTAAACCAGATATAAAAAAATCTTGTAATGCCATTAAATAATCCAAATTGATACATATATAAAGACTTTCAAATTGAGCACTCACTAATAATTTTAAAAAACTAAAAAAAAAATTTTTTTAAATTTATTTACATTGTCGAAGTGCCATTGAACTAGTTGGAGATTTTGGTTTAAATTCAAATGATACAATAACCATTTGAGCATTTGGATCAACGGTAAAATGTCTATCCATCATACGTGTTACACTTGTTGCTTTATTTGTTTCACGTAAATCATCAACTAGAAAATTTTTAACACGTACTATTGTTTTATAACTTAAATCAGTTTGTTGACGAAATAATGCTTCTATGAATTGTATTTGAACATTAGCTAATTTATAAGATTCATCACGTGGTGCCCGACGAACAATCTAAGAAAAATATTTAAACTTATAACTTTCGAATCTCGTTGTAATCAAGAGATAAAATCTAATGGTTTAAAAACACTCGTGAATATTTCTCTTACCAAATTCGATTCTCCCAAGTAAAGTGTCAATGCTAATTTCTTAATTTCTGCTCGAATTTTAACTGTTTGTAAAACTTCACCACCATGAGCATCTAGAAAAAGAGAAATATTGTTTTTTTTTTCAATCGATATATATTTTATTTCGAACCTTGTTGTCTTTTAATTACAGCCTTGCTTAAAGTTTTTTGTTTTTCTTGTCTAAAATGATATTTTTCAAGTTGTGCAGTTTCAGGTATTTGATCACGAATATTTTCTGTAAAATTTTCCATTACGACTTTCATAATACATGAATAATCACCTTTAGCTAATCGAAACTATTAGAACAAAAAATTTCAATTTATATTTAAAAAAAATAAAATCATACATGAACTAAATCCCATTCAACTTGAATTGAAACGCCAGGTTCATGTTTAACTTTTTCAGGATAAAATAAACGATTAATTAATATATTTAATTGAGCACATTCAAGTAAAATAATTTCACCAAGAATATTATTATCATGATTAAGTTTAACACGACTAATAAGAAGATTTTCTAGTCGAACATTTTGTTGTTCAACAAGTGAACGTCTTGGATCATCATAAAAACGTGTTAATAATGTTAATTTACCCAAATCAAATAGTAATGCTTCATCAGAATATGAATTTGTTGGAATAATTATATTTGGAGCATTAAATGTTATATCAAGATGAACTTTAAATGCTTGTTCTTGTAATTTTTGTACTTGTTCATAAGCAGCATCTGCTAGTATTGATGCTAAATCTAATGAGTTAAGACAATTCTTTAAATAGAAAATACGAAAAACAATTAATTTATATAAAAATTTCAAATAATTTTATTTACCAAAATAGCATCGATATGTTTAAAAAGAAATACAATATTTGCTTTTGCAAATTGAACTTTAACATCACAATCGACGATATCAAGAGGTTTTACATATTCATCAGGATAATTAAATAAACATAAATCAACACGAAGTAATTCTTTATCATCGCCTTGTTGAGAAATAATCTGTTAAAAAAAGAAATAAAAACCTTTTTTCTATTTTTTTAAATTTTATAAAGTTTATTTTACTTTTCGATATCGTGCACCTTCATACGGATCAAAAACACGTAGATCTGATAGAATTAAATTAATTAATGTCTTTTCTGGTGCTTGTGATACATCCGCTTTGACACCTGATTTATATAAAAAGACAAATTTCAAAATATATATATTAATTAAATAAAATCAAACCTTGAACTTGTATATCGAATAATTGAGTTATTTTCGATGCGATTATTATTCGAAATTCTTCTAAATCAGCTTCAATTTTCAATGTTGGTGTTACTGGAACATCTATAAAAAGAAAAGTTAATAATTTCAATTTAATTTAACAATTAAGAAATTTTCAGTTCAAGTAGAAGAATTCAATCATTCAAAGTATTTATCAGAGACCGAAAACGAATCGAACGAAACTGTCCATATTCGTTTCATTTATCAAATAATATAAATAGTAAAAAAATAAGATCAGACGAAAACTTGACACATACTCGATCACCATTTAATGAAGACAGTTTATGTGGGCATTTTAAAATGAATCTTTATCGTGGAAATGGATCGATAGCAGTCCGGCGGAAAAGAAAAGTAACTCATAGCAGTCGTATTCAAATGGACGTTTACTTATTCGTTTCGGTCTCTGATATTTATACACTTAGATAAAGCTACCAAAGAAGTGATATTTAGATATGGTGTCCGTTGAGCGAAAAACATATCAGCGAACGGGTTTTTCAGAGAAAAAAAATGCGCGAAAGTCACAACTGCGAAACACCTTTCGCCTTCACCCACACTTTTCGTCCATACCCTCATCGAGAAAAATCATTTCGCTGAATTGCCTTTCGCTCTTTTTATTTCGCTAAAAATTTCGCTGAAAACCCTTTCGCTCACTAGCCCCCATACCGATATTTATTGTCACGAGCAATCATATCTAATACAAAAATTTAGCAAGTTTATGAGCAATATTTTAGCAGCGAGACGATAGCTGTAAAACTTCAAACTACTTAACTTTTATTTTTATATTTAATGTATTACCAGTTTTTCGTTATAACGATAATTCAGTAAAAGCTATTTGTGTATAAAATAATAGTTAGCATACTTTCAAAACGAGTGCTGATTTGAAAAAAGATGTTTCTTTGAACTTATTGTATGAATTTTTCCCTTGTATTTTTATAGAAAAATTTGATAATTATTATGAAATTGTAGAAAACATACGGTGTACTCTTATATTCGAATTTTAAACAATATTCAATTCATCATATCTTTTGGAATAGTCTTTCTATTTTTCTATGAGATTTAGTTTCATATTTGTTCTTACCATTCTTTTTAACTATTTTTCCTGTAGTTGATACAGATCTTCCTATTGTTTTATTATCATCGGGTACTTTCAATTGTTGTTTTCTTGCTTCTTCTTCTTCTTCAGCTTTCTTTTTCATATCAATTTCAGGTGTATCTTTAGGTAATTTTTTCATTAAAGCATCTTGAAATCTTAATATTGATAAGAGTGCTTCTAATTGTAAAATCACAACAAGTTTTGTAAAATGAACATGAGCTTTATTTTCAATTCCATTATACATTGATGATGAAAATAACGGATTATCTGGTGATGTATGAAGAAAATTGACACTAACTAATTTTTTATTTTCATGAATTTCATTTCTATTTAATTCTGCTGATAATAAACGTAATTGTTGATTATCTTTACCAACAAATTGTTCATGATAAACAATTAAATCACCTAATGATGCATCAAATTCCATGTCAAATGTTTTTATTTTTGTTTTAGCAAGAATAGATTCAAGTTTTATTTGAAGAAATGGTTCACCTTCATCATCATCATTTGAACTATTTAATGCTTCATCAATATGTAAAATAATCTTTTAATTAAATAATAAATTTTATTTAGTAATTCAAAAATAAAATATATTTACTTTATCAAGAGTAAATGTTGCTTCTAATTGTGTTAATTGTCCTTCGAAATCACTTTTCTTTGTTGTAAGTGCTTGTTTGGGAGTTTCTTCTTCAGAATTTTCATCATTATTTTCACTACCTTCGACTTTTTCTAAAGTTTTTTTAACTGGTGTCATTCCTTCAACTGTTTCATATGTTTGCTCAGGATTACTAAGCAATGATTGTGCAGTTGTTGCCTGAAATGAATGAAATATATTTATTTTCTATCTAAATAAAAATTTCAAAGCTAACTTCTGCTTCAAGTGCTGGTATTTCACTAATCGGATGTTTTGATTCCGGAAAAGGAATAGATTGAATATGATTAATAATATGAAAAAGACGTTTATCTGATAAACGTAATTCTACACCTGGAATATTTCCAGCCATTTTCCATCTAATAAAAATAAAAAATAAGAATCTCTTCGAATATTTTAAAATAAATTCATACGCAGGTAAAACAGCATCATCATGATAAATACATTTATCACCATCCATTTCAAGTTCCATTGGTTTAATTAAATGTAAACGTGTATTTTTTTCTTTTCGAGCATTTTCCCAACTTTCGTCTTAAATATTCAAACAAAAAAAACTTAATATTATCACTTGATTTAATTTAAATATTATTTTACTTCGATTAGCATAAATTAATTGAATATCTGTAAGTTTTAATTTAAATTGTGTATATGATAATTCTCGAACACCTTCAATATTCTGTTTTTTTTGAAAAACAATAAATAGGAAAATTAGAAAAATAATCAAAAATTATTTTACTGTTGGCGCATGAGATTCTTCATAATGATTTTCTTGATTTGTACCACGTTTTAATGTTAAATGACCTAAATCCATACAAATAGCTGCAACACCACTAAATAAAAAAGAAATATTCTTTAAAATTATTTTATTTAGAAAAGAATTTTTTACTCTTGATAAACTCCATTTTCCGGTAAAAGAAGATAAGATGATTGAATATCAATATAAATATCTAAAACTTTAATTTTTTCGATATTATGTTTCATTAATATAAATGAACGATGTTTAACATCTGTATAAGTTGAATATGCGACTTGTTTAACACTAAATTAAAAACATGAATTCAATATAAACTTCTCAAAAATTATTTTTTTCGTACCCTTGTAAATTTCGATCAGCATCAGGTTCAAAATATTCTGCTAATTTATTAATTGTTGGCTAAACAAATTATAAATTTCTTTTTTAATTTAAATAAAATTTTTATTCTTACAGCATTATATTTTATTTCTAATGATTGTGAAACAACTTTAACACGATAATCCGATTTTTTATCTAATGGATTTGTTTCAAATTCTACTTGTAAGAATTTTTGTTGATTAGTTGATGATAATGCTGATGGACGTACAAGTACAGGTCGACTATCATTTAATAATTCAGATTGACTCGAATTTGTTGCAATACCAAATACTTGAAATGAACCCAAATCAACATATATACTATACAAGAAGAATAAGAATCAAAATTTGGACGCTGGCATAAATAAACAAAGAACATACGCAAGAGCATCGGTAGCTGGTCGTCGTTTGAATATTAAACTAGTATCAGGTATAACACCACGAGCAATAACTCGAAATCTATAATAAATTATATAATAATTATGATATATTTTTTATAGATAATCATACTGAGTATCATGTTCATTAATTTTAGACCAAATATTAACATCAAGCATATTTAATCGAATTGCTAAATCAATATCGACATACTAAAAAATATCGAATAATTGTAAATAAAGAATTTTGATTTATGAAACAAACTTCTTCTGGATAAGTTGATGTTGAAGTATCTTCACCCGCATAACCAATAGCTTCATATAATTTATTTTTCTCTTCTGGTGACATGACTTTTTCTAAATCAAGTTCTAAAAAAATAATAATCAAAACAAAAAATGAAATTAGAGAATAATATTCAAAAAAAAGTTTCAACCTGGATCATCAGTTGATTTACTTCCACCCCACCAATTCGATACACTTCCCCACCAAGTTTTAGGTTCTTGTTCTTTCTTTTTTCTTGCTTCAATTTCTGCACTTCGACGAATATATGTTAAATTAAAGACATCAAGTTTTTTTTCTAATTCCTTAATTAAGCATAATAACAATCGAAATATTTTAGATTTATATTTGATTAATAAAATTTTCTTACTTCTGCACGAGTTTTTTGTTCATGGGTTAGTTTTCCTATTAATTCTTGATAATGTAACGTACGATATTCTCTGCAACGATCTAAATGTGCTTTTATATTTTCCCATTTATAACAATCAAATCTTGGTCGAATTTCTTCATTAACAATTGCTTCATAAGCGAATTTCCAACTAAATATCAGAATAAATTTTTCTTCAAATAAATCAAAGCAAAATTATTTTTTACATTCTTAATGTTTTCTTTTCTACTAATTCTTTTTTCACATGATATTTTATATATTTGGATTGTACACTAAGATAATCTTGAAATTCAAGAAGATCAAGTAAATCCGAATACTAGAAAAAATTTCAATAAGAATTTATATATACTTTTTGTTAAAGATTTTTTACTTGATCACGATTCATATTAAGACTGATTTCATCTAAGTCAACTTTAATATCAAACATAGGTCGTTTAAAATCTTCTTCACGTGGTTTCATTGCTAATACAAGTCGTGCTTTCACATTAAGTGGACGAAGAACTAAAATTATATTCTACTGAATAATAAAATATATAAAAAAATCATACTGTATGATATATCAGCTGGTGCTTGTTGATTATCAATAGCTATTTTTTCTTTTAAATTATTCTATAATTTAAAATACAAAGAGAAATATAAACGAAATATAAATAAATGAACTTACGATAGCATCATCTCTTGCTAAATCTGTTCGAGATTTAGCATTTGTATTCCAATAAATTGATAAAGCACTTAATTCACCAAGCTAAACATAATTATTCGTTTTTATTATCATATATTTAAATAACTTTTATTTAATACAATAATCATTAGACTTATCTCTATACGAAATATGATATATTATATTAATCCTTTCAGTTTAATAGTCGAAAAAGAGCTACATAGATTTTACGCTTTCCTTATCATTCAGAAGAAATAATTTCGAACTGAAAGAATTACATTTGTCTTTAGAACTTGGATTTTGACCTTGATAAAATATAATAAATAATTGTTAGCGTCGGTGATAATACACTTTGATGTCAAACTGAAATCTCGGTATCATTCTAGTCTAATTGACTTAAAAACTGAGTGATTTCAATCTACAACAAACCATCTTTTTCTTCTTTCTGTCTTACAAATGAAACTAACAAAAATTTGGAAAACTGACAGTTGCTTGCGGGGTTAGATATGGATGTGATTCAGTTTAAGTGTGAGTTAATCCTTGCTTTCATTCACTCAAATACTAGATTAGACATTAAACGAGAATTTTAATTGCGTTCTGTTTAACATCTCTATCTTCTTCACACTATGAACGAATTTAGTGCACGAATATTCTATGATTCATCAAAATTTGTGAGGATGCAAGAGTTTTTGATTAATATCTTACTTTATAAATCAATGGTGTATCTTCTTTGAGTATAGTTGGTTTCCAGTCTGGTGTTGTTGTCTATAAAATGAAATTGAATATATACATGAAATAAAATCAATAAATCTACATGAAGTGATATATAATTAAGAGTTATTCCAAATGAAAATGGATGATTTGGTTTAGTTGATTTATCTTCATAAACAATATGAATATTGCGAATTGATAATTCCAAATTTCGAATAACTTGAAGTTGCATACGTTCAACAAAAGTATCGTTATTTTTATCATTTCCTTTGGCATTTTCTATTTATATATTCAATTAAATAAATAATTTAAATTTATTTTTAATATTACTTTCAGCTTCTTTTTCTTTTCGAAGTTCTTCGACTTTTCGAACTTCTTTCATTTTAGCTTCATGTTGTTCTTTCGCATCTCTTTGGGCATCATATTCGACTTCTAAAAATATTTAATCGACATGTAAATAAAACAGAAGATAACAAATCAACGAACCAGTTTTTGGTACAACTAATAAATAAAGTCCATCGATCGTTGCTTTTATTGGATGTGTATATAAATTTGTCCATGAAACTTGAAGTGTTAATTTTTCTAAATAAGAATAAAAATTATTTTTTTGAATAATAATACACAAGATAACACATACGTAAATATCCAATTGATATAGTAACAGGAAGATTTAAATCCGCCTAGAAATTAAAACAAAAACTTACTTTTGAATTTTAATCAATAAAATAATATTACCAATGCATTGGATTTTAGATACAAATTTTCAAGAACAACATTTCCTATGAATAATTAATAATTAACAAACGATGAAAATTTTCTTTGAGTATACTCACCATTCCATAAATCAATTTTAAGTTTTTTTGTATCTAAATTTTCGATATAATCACCCAAATATTTATCCAGTAAGGAGACAATCAGATTTTCGAATACCATTTTAATTACGGTTAAAATATTAATGAAAGACCATACGGGAAAGATAACAAATATTTATCTTAAACAAATGCAGTATACTTTATTTTGTACAGAATCAATACAAATGTTCGATTTCGTTTTCTTTTCTTGAGGGTGGGTGTGAGTGTTGGTGAAGGATGCATGTAATACCTACAACCACATCCACACTCACCCTAAAATAAAGTTAACTCAAGAATTTCATGAACAAACAGAGCAAAAACTGTCAAACAATACAGTAAGATAAAACCAAAATTTTTCGTTATATTTCTCTTTTCGCAACTCACTTATTTCCATATGCTTCACTTTCGCTGGCTGTGGACATACAGACACACAAGAACGAGAAAAAAGGATGGCAGCTATAATAATCATACACGAAAGTTTGATTTTTTCGTTGTTAATGCGCTTTCTTTTGTTGATTTCTCTCGCACCTTGTATTTACATTTTTAAAAGCATCCAAAAAAGCTGTTAGCGCAATCTCTGGTGGGATTAAAATGTGAAATATGATCTAATTGTGTTTCTACCTTCTAGAAGATAGTTTAATTGTATCATTATGAAGCGGCTTTTACCTCATTCTGTGGCATAAATATTAGAAAGAAATAATTTACATATGTTAGAGTCACTTGGTTCTCATTTTAACAGTTGCTACAAAATTTAAGAGAAAATTCGAGGGTGTGAGTATCTGTAAGATTTTTATTAAAACATCCACACTCACACCCATTCTTTTTCAGATGCCAAAATTAACAGTAGTCAACCTCGCAACGAATGAAGCAGCAAAAGAAATATGAAGTGAAATTAAATATTTGTCTTTCATTTAACTGTGTCTCTTCACAATTTTGGACGACAGAGTATTTTTTTCAGCCATTTTTGTTTATACTGTTCTTCGATTTTATGTTGATTTTGGAAGAAAGAAAAATCTGAAATGTTGTTGGATTCTTTTTATCCAGCACGCAAAATAATACAAGAAGGAGAAACAAAAAGTAAATGGGTAATTTTTTCATGCTGTCAATAAATACAGATAATCACCTTTTAGTTTCTCATTTTATTCTCAATATCATCTTTAAGGTAGTGAATACGACTCGTAAGTATTTCACATAGTATGATATTTCTTTTACTTTTTTTCTGCAATTGTTCAAAATGTTCTGTAAATCTTATATGATAAAATTACACGAAACATTAAACTTCGCATGTTGTCATATTTTGATGTGACCACTGCTTCACTTAGCAGGGTGTGGATGTGAATTGATATGTTGATGAAATATCTTCGACAAAAATGTCATTCGTCGAAATATGTAAGATTCACATCCTGTGGGTGATTTCGTCAGTCCCCCGACCTCTTCAATTCGTACATTTCTTAAGTTCTTTCTATTTTATGAAATATCTTGGTTTCTTGTGCTTACTTAATAATACAGCTTTCAACATCATTATTTTCCACTTTCAGATAAAAGAAACAAGTGAAATAATTGACGTTTTTTTCTCATCAAAAACAAAAGAAAATTATTAAGAGTTATGAGTACTACAACACCGACAACAACAAACTCTCTAGAAACTATTGAATGGGAATGGGAATGGCAATCGAATCCTAATCCATGGTCAAAAACTGAGCCACCAATATGGAGTCGTTATTCAGATGTTGAAAATCTAATTATCGAACGAGCCTTCTCAAATAAACAACCGCGAGCTATCTTGGATGCTTATTACATTGATTTTAAAGACAATCTACAAATATCAAACAATGATAATAACAAACAGAGACTTGTAAAAAGAATAATACGCAATACAGAAGAGAAATATTTAAGAGTAGAACGTTTCATGAATCTTCCAGTTGCATCGGATCGTTCATTTGGTGGTCAATATGGTTGGATATCACCATTTGTTGTGGAAGTTAGAAGATATTTGCGTCTGAAACCTGATGAACTTCCTTCCAAAAAACCTAGTTTGATACCCATGCTTGTTAAAAAAGCTGCTCAAGGTATTATTAAAGAAGGTAAACATATTGGAGAACAAAAAAAAGCTGAAGAACTGGCTAATATCCTTCGAGAAAAAAAGAATAAAGGAATTGAAGAAGTATGGGAATGCTGTGCTTACCTTTACTCGTTGGAAAGCTTCTTGTACAAAACTTTGAACGAAATTATGAGATCAGTTGGAACCATAGAAGAATTTACTTGGCGAAATAAAGTTCCAACGCTAGGTCCATTTTGTTTATTGCTTTGGGATGATCCATACAATAAAGAAGTGAAAACGAACATTGAACTTTACCGAGGGACCAAACTCAAGCCCAAACAGATCGATGTTTATAAAAAAATGGCGGAGAATGGAAAAATATATGGCTCTTTTCAAGGATTTTCATCGTGCAGTCGCAATCGTAAAAAAGCAGAAGAATTTGGGAATGCGTTGTTCATTATGAAAGTCCTGTTTGCATTTACTGCTGATATTAGTAAATTCTCGAAATATCCTCATGAAGAAGAAGAACTTGTTACACCAGGTGTATGTTTTCGTGTTCTGTGTGTCGAAGAGGAACCTGAGACAAGCAAACATTTAATCTACTTGGAATTAACACAACGTTTTTCTGGTAAGTGAAAAAGATATGAGGTGATATTTCTTATAATATGCCAAGAATATCTTCTAAATATTTTGTTTCTCACTGAATATATCGTGCTAAAATGACATTAGTAGGTAGAGTTCCGGTTTCGTATATTCAAGTCTGAAAGTTCTACTTAGCACGAGTACTCGTACACCACGACTTCGATACTAGCTTCTCCTTACTAATCGAACTTCGAATGCGTTAGAAAAACATCTTTTGCATAAAGTAAAGAAAATATTTCTTCCTTTGTCAATGTTTAAAGTTTCCTTTAAAATTGGAATGATACTATTGTAGCGATGTCTTTTTGTATAATCTGCAGTGAATTGTATCAGATTATCTGGCATATAGTAGTCTAGTGATAACATATCTTTTATATATACTGATATGAATGTTGAAGAAAGTTAAGTCATCGGCTTAATACAGATATCTCTCTAAAAAATTGTTTTCATTTTTATTTCTGACGTTTTATTAAACTCACATACGACCGTGTCCTAGACAATCTTTAAAAAGCATTCTTTTATTATATCATCTCATAAGACATAATTTAACAAATTTATATTGTCCACTTGGAATTAGTAAAAACTTATTTTAGAAAAGTAGATCACAATTCCAGTGTCAAAAACAGTAACTTAATTGAGCTTCGAAAATTTGGATAATCTGAAAATAATTTACTAACTACTACGTCAAGATAAGAGTTATACTACTTCTCGTTTATAGTCAATCTTCAAGAAGTTATATTAAGCTTTATATTTTTTGAGAGTAGATATGGATGCGAGTATGGATATTGTATTCTTTTCATATTCATTACTAACCCACTTTGTCACCCACACCCTATCTCTCTATAGTTTGTATACCCTGTACAAGTTAATAGTTTGTGTAGCTTTTTAATTTACAAATGACTATAATCGAGCAATTTTCTCTTTGTTGATATGGAAAAGTATTAGAAGCTTGAAAGTTTGATAAGTGCTGTGGCTTGGTTATGATCATCCGAGCTGTAAAAATCAATTTACTAAAATAAACAAAAGTTTTATCGGAGATTCTATTTTATTTAGCTATAATAAGATCATTTCATATGACTTACGTGTAAGATGAACTCAATATTGTCATACTCGAGAGTGAGATTCAGCGATTACTTTGGCTATTCTTCTAGAATGAATAGATTACCTCCAAGGAAGTAGGGGCCACAAAGTGAGACTGCGGAAATCAGTGGAAAAGGTTCACATTAAAATATTGAGTAGTGAGAGCAATAACTTAAGTCAATTTTCAGGTATAACACTATCGGTACTGTAAGGGTGTGAGACTAAGTGTGGGTGTACATGAGAATATATAAAAGAAATACACATATTAATCCGCATTCTGGCTCAAACCAACTAAACAAGAACATCAAACTTCATTTCGAATCGCATACATTCTAGTTTCCAACATAAAATCTTTCCCATAAATCATATCACACATGAAACTACATTTGAACAAGGTATCTCCTGCACAAAAAATCATTCTTCTTATATTCTATCAGTTCCAACCACTACCACCGTAACAAACCCTAAAGTCCCTCTCTCATGCCTTTCCACATGAAAAATCCAAATATGACTCGCCCTAAACAACCATCCCCAAAGTACATACTCACACTCTAATCGTCTTCCCCGATTGATACCTTTCTCTATTTCCAGCACAAGACCATCAGCAAATCAGCATCCAAAACACTACCAACAAGAACGAAGATGCCTATGATCGTCGTCATTATTATTATGATAATACTCGTGATGTTCTTCTTAATCGTGATCGTTTCGATCGGGATGGTAACATATTGTAAGAAGCAATGAGATATGCTTTGGATGGAAAAGGTTTTTCTTTTTTGAAAAGGTTTGAAAGTGGGACAATAATTAACTCAGAAAATGTGAAGTTATGTGGGAACATGTAATCGGATTGTTACTATGTGTTGAGAGTGAGAATGTATGTCACAGTAAGAATAGTTCTGTGATTACTACGCACGATATGGGGAGTGTCGTATTATGATGAGTGTGTTTAGTTGATGTTAACAGCAACAACAAAATGTACTAAGCATAAAATATTATGGAATAGAGCAGGAAGAAAAAGAATTACAAATATTATCAATATGTCTTTCACTACCGCAACTTACTGTTTGAGGAAAATTCGAGTTTACGATATTTTTTGGTATAAAATATGTCGTATAGAATTATTCTTTGACCTGGGTAGCATTTGGAATAGTCTTAAATACATGACATTGCACGCTTCGGAGTCTTTTGTTCACTTTACATTGATTTTCTTACAGATATCATTCGGTAGCTTTGTTTGTAACTATCTAGCTAAACAACAGTTCATTATTCGAGAATTAGCACTTTTGTTGTTTTATTCGATTTATTCTAGACCACGATAGAGTAAGTCATCCGATTAAATCATTTGACTTCTTTTACCGATCATATCTTAGGATAATTTTATGAACGATCCAATTGATTGTGAGGATGGGTGGGTGTGAGTAACCCTATTTCAGCCACACCCATACCCTCGAGATATTAAAACAAGAATCAATGATTTATTACAACTATGTACATTAACTAAAAACGAGGTTCTTTTAGTCAAGAAAGGGTATGTATACACGTGTCAGTTGAGCGATTATAGGCAAAAACAGTCACGCCTACCTTGAAATGTACGAATGGTGAATTACTTCCACTTACTTGTACTAATCGCCGTGTTTTGATTAAATCAGTAGCTAATGGGGAATATGAGGAACTATGTACCATTCAATTACCACTAAAGCACATGACCGAATAATTATCATATCTGTATAGGCTGACAATGAAAAGATCGATAGAAGATATTGTTTTTAATTTTTTACACGGTCGATTAACTGTAAAAAATGCTATTATAGACATCGATGTAATTATATTATGCGCACTTTTTCTTTTTATTGTATCATTCATTGAGGGTGGGTGCGGGTGTTTGTGGGTATTCATTTTATATACTAACACCCACACTGCATATCGGAATTCAGCCGGTTATACTCACCCTCAAATATTTATAAATACATTTAATTGGCTATGAAGATATTGAAACAGTGATGAAAGCAATGATCTTATTAATGTCAAGAATATTTGGATAATTATCAAGCAATATGAAGAGAATGAAGAATCCATAATATACGTAAATTCAGTAACAGATTAAGAAAAATAATGAGCTAGACGACTATAAAACATTATATAATGCGTTTTAGGAAATTGTACTGGCTTAATTTTCAGTATTGTGGTGATAAAACAGGAATGGCATATACGATTTATAAATCTATGCTTTAACTATCAATTTGACATGAAATACATATTTCGCGAAAGAAAGATTTTATTTACTGATTGATGTTTGGTAAGTAATGCTTCGATCTAATTAATGGCATTTTAATACTAAATATGTTTTATGTAAAAATGATTGGCTTTCTATTTTTCTTCAGTCAAAAAAAGGGATAACAAATAAGCACGGCCAAGATTTTACTTAGAGAAAAAAATAGAAACAAACAGCCAGGCCACGAAAAATAAGCGTCGAATCTTTTATCTATATGAACTTTAGTAAAGTAGATGTAAACTTATCGTACAATTCAAAATTATAGAAACAGAAACGATAAAGATAAATATTCGTCAATCGATCAGATCGATCCATTTGCATAAAGAAATTGTGTATAATGTATGTACGTCTTTTCTAGATTTTTTAATGAAAAAACACCCATTTGTCAACAGTCTTTTTGTTTTATACAAAAGTTATCCTAACGATTATTGAGATGAGTTAATTATTTTAACACATTGGATAATGTTCAAATCTGGCTTCTAGAATCTCAAGTCAAATATAACGGTCCGTAAACGTCTGAAAGTGGTGCATTTCAGGCACTAAATGGACAGAAAACGGTACTAATAGGACTAGCCGTTTCATGCTTTATGAGGCGATCTTTCAGATGGTCTGAATGATCGACCTAAGATGTTCAAGATAGAAAAGTAAGACATAAAGATTAATTGATTTTTATTGTTTTCATATACCTTTTTATAGGAAGGTGAGATTATTATAATTACTTTTTCCTACATGAAATTTTTATTTTGCTGAACGACATATCGATTTTGTATTACTTAAAGAACGAGCAGCTTAAACTGATATAGAATCTATAGTTTTTATTTTATTTAATAAAAATCTCGAAGTCAGTTGAACCCAACAAACTTGTATTAAGGAAGTCTATATAAGGAAAAGTTGGAACAATGCAATTAATTGGAATAAAGAATATAAAATCAATTGGTTATTCCTTACATTTGTGATAGTATTCAAGTAAATGTAAGATTCTATATGGACATCTTGAGGGTGTGGGTGACTGTGTATCTTTTCTTTTTTTATATGAACACCCACACTCCCAACCCCAAGATTCTTAGTATTAGTTAATTAGGTTTTATTATGTGCGTAGATGTCGTGAGAGTTTAGTAGGAATATTTGGTTTATTATCTAAAGATAAATTTATATAAACATACTTTTGTATCGAAGATCGAAAGCAAACTGGTTCAGAATTTTCTGATTATTTCACTTAAATGAATATAGATGTCATATTTACTGAAGCAATCTGATTGGTATCGTTGACTGTTAGGCGACCATTTTAATTTAAAGTAAACAAAATTTAGTTATAATTATAATTAGTAAATAGATATATTGAGCTAATTGAATATATTATTGTAATGAAATAAAAGAATTTAGATTGGAAACTATATTTTTTACTATAAATTTTATGAGTTAATATTCTTCTATTCATTTCAGATGGTGACTACTATTACATCAGAGAATATTTTGTGGCGAAATTTTGATAATGCAAATACGATCGATTACGATCTGATTAATATTTATGATGAAGAAATTACGAAAATCTTTGACACACAAGCAAAATTCATGTTACAAGATATGTGTATTTGTTATTTGATTTACATGAATAAGCTAAGTGATATTAATGGTGACGAATCTG